AGAGCGTCTGCTAGATTTGTAGCTGCAATTGCTTCCCATTCAAGTGCCCCCTTTAGTAGGACAATCTTCTGTGCAATTGAAAGCACTTTTTTTTCTCTCTGTCCTTCACTAATCTTAACTCTTCAAAAGAATAAAAACAAAATTGAGTAAACTGCCTCAGTGCAAAGATCGCTGCTAGTTCATGGCATTGAGCTTGGGAATGAAAGAAGCACTACTTGGCAAGAGTTGCCCTTGCTTTCTTATAGCCTGTTCCAAAAATATAGTTTGGCCAGCAGCAGCCTTTTGGTTAGGCCTGAGTTGAGTACATCAGTTCTGGCAGGGAGGGGAACAGCCATGCACATGTTAACTATAGTGCTCCTTTTGATAATGTGCAGTGCTGGCAAAGCACTAAGATTAATAGCTCAAATATGAATCCTTCCTTCCAGTCTACCATCTCCCCTTTGAATTGAAGCCATTCTTTTTTAGCCCTTTTTAAAGAAACCGCTTAATCCTGACACCTACCGTGGTTGTGGTGCAACTATAGGTAGAGCAGGACAGCCACTGTTTGAGTGCAAGAGTCTTGTTTTTTAATTTCCAGATTAGAAATCCTTATTTCATGGTAAGGAGGCAATGTATAGCCATGCTATTCTTGTGCAGCTAGATGAATGGGTGTATAATCAGCATAGCTCACTGAAAAAGAAGTGTCAGGTAAGATCCTGCCCCAGAGCCAGGATCCCAGTGCAGATGGGTGGAGGAAAGTTTGTATTTTCTCTAGGCTGAATGTACTGAATTTCAAGTGATCTGGCCTGTAAACTTTATTGTTTCTCTTGCTTTAGTCAATGTCTTTATTTTTTTTAATATACAAGCTGTGATTAAGTGAATTTCCATTTTGTTTTGCTTTGAAAGGCCTTTTTATGAGCAAGTGCCAAAGTTCAGTTTCTGCTTGCTGAGAATTGCTATATATTTTTCCAACATAAATCTTCTGCACTGTTTTCTATGTTGTTATAATGGTCCTATGTAATATGAATATGTGCTGTTTTTTCAATTCTTGTTGACTGTCTCTTCTGTAAGCACTGGGCTGACTACTGTATTTTCTATCATTTTCTCTCAGTATTTTGCAAACAATGTTGCTGTTTCCTTGGCATTGATGTGACTACTTGGTTTGTGGCTCGCAGATAGCAAATGTGCTGTATGGGAAAGAGCTAATAGTTTTGTTATTTAAAAAAAACACGATTTAAATGGGGGAAGAGGGTATTTATAAAGCTAAATATCATATTTTATTTTTCATATGTTTAAATTGTAATAAATGGTGACAGTCCCATTTGTAGGATAAAGTTACATATTTCCATTAATATGTAGTATGCTGTTCTTAAAAGAAAATTCTTATAATGAACTTTTAATTAAAATGCACTGTAAAATGAATAGTTTAATTCCTTTATGGTCACACATTCCTTTATGTCCACACGGGACACTGAGTGTTCTCTTTCATGGCTGCTGTGAGTTCTGTTGCTGTCTCTCTGGACTGAAGCACAGTCCTCTAAGAAGGTCTCTTTATTCCCTAAATGTTTTAAATCATAATCTTCAACCAGAAGCGGCTTAGGTGTGCAGGTAACTGGGGAGAGGATCTCCATGTCTGGATGTGTTGGGGTGTCTGAAGCTCAAGCTGAGAACTGCCTCCTACCACAGTGATCTTGTAGGCACTAGTCTATGGCATGGCCTGGGCTGCAGCAGTTTCATTGGAGTGGGATGGGGCAAAGAGCATATGTTCATTTTTATTTTAAAGTCATGAGAAAAAAAAAGTGTGACCCTTTCTGAGGGCTAGCACTGGTTTTAGGCAATATTAGTGCCCCAAAACACTGTGAAAAGAACTATTCACCACTAAGATGGCTTGTTAAAATGCGACAGCAGAGGCACTACACTAGTGCAAGTTGTAAAGTGCAGTGTCCATGGGCTGTGACAGTAAACCAAATGCTCTGCTTGACAAAGTACCAGTTGCTAGTGCTCTCTGTGAGACAATGACTGGCTGGGGCAGAAATGTTTATGCAGCTCTGACTTGCTTTGGCCATGTATAGTTAGAGGTTTTTGTGAAACATTACACAACTCAATTTCAAATGTTCTCATTCTGATTGGCCTTAGAGCAGACACCACTGCACCACTTGCCCCAGTCCACAACAGTACTTTACCTGCTCTAGAAAAAATAATACAACCTACCCCAAAATACCCTCAATCGCCAAAGAATCTGTGTCTGAAGATTGGAGAGAGTGCCAAATTCTCATCTCACATGGGCTGGAAAGCAAGAGACATCAGCCCTCCAGTCAATCCACCTTTCTTTATCATTTTTTATCAAAATAAATGAAAGGACCTGAAGTCTGGAATTATCTGTGCTGAGGTCTCCTCTTTCAGGAAATGGCATTTGCATATTTCACTCTCTTCTTCAAAGGTACAGTGGTGAAACTGCCTTAGACACTTTCCTGCATAGCAAGGAGCCTGTGTGTGGAGGTGGTCTGTTGCTTTAAACACTGATTCAGTGTTTGGATTCATTTGTTGGTTGAGGGAAGCAAAGTCTTTACACTTCAGTTGGCCATATCGGTCTTTATTTAGAGAGTTATTTCAACGTGCTCCAAATCTTAGGTCTGTCTTTAGCATTGACTTTAACAACAAACACCTGAGTAGGAGGCCCTGCCTGCATGGGGAGGTGTTATTGGATGGCGGCTGCAATTGCTTTGTTTTGTGCACACTGAGAACACCTAGTCTGGGGGCTGTTGCTGGGCTGGTGCTGCTGAGCTAGTGGCTGGCTGCTTCCTCAGGTTCTGTTCTGGCTGTGCGAGGGAGGAGTGGAGCAGAACTTCTCTTCAGTGTGGAAACCAATACTAAAAGTTGAGGTTTTTCCTAAGGTATGTCACGGTGTTCGGGTCAGATAGTGTTTGGGAACATTCATCCTGTTGCATTCTGACCTAGAGCTGGGATGGATCTTTTCTACAGATAAACAACTTACTTCTCCTGTTTTGGGTTTGTTTTTTACTGACTACATAAGCAAGACGGTTGGGATTTATGTGGGGGGGAGGGTTTTGGGTTGGTTGTTTTGTTTTTGTTGTGGGTTTTTTTGTTGTTGTTGTTGTATTTTTTTTTAATTTAGTAAAAGCCAAAGCTAAGGAGTATATATTCTGTTAAAATGGTTTGTAACATTTTTTTTCTACATATGTTCCTTTTTTTTTTTCCCCATGACAGTACCCTTTTCATTGAAAAGAAAAGATGTGTAATGCTTTTTGTGCCTGTATCTTGTGATGAAAAGCTATGGCTGTTATTCTGCTGCTCCACATTCTGGGAGTCACATGTTTTATGTGCATATATAAGCAGATGACAAAACAGGAGTAAATATTACCATATTCCAACACCTATACTGTTTATGGAGCATGGAAGCGACAAGACAACCTTCAGTTCCCAAACTGCACTGAATACACGGAAGTAATAATTTATGGAAAGCTGACTGACAGCTACAGCACTTCAAATGTGCAGTAATGCAGATTTCTAGAAAATCTGTTTCTGTTTAAAAACAGACACAGCTATGACTCCTAAAAGTAGTATTAGTGGTGCTAACAAATTGACCTCTTGGGAGGTGTGAACTGGTGAGGTCTCCAGATGACTTCTTTTGTGTGAACACTGTTCAGTTAGTTTCTGTATTGTGCTGTTCTCTTTGTATATGCTTGATGTGTTTAATGGCTGTTGAACAACAAAGGATTGGCATTTGGTGTGTGTAAATCCGGGTTATATTTCTTAAAATACAAGGGGTTTTTTACTAACTGTCTGGCCATTAGAAAATGTAGTTAATATCATGTATTTAGTATTTGTATGAAGACTTTAGTTATACAGTTGCTGTATAACTAAATAATAAAAAAATAATAATAAGTCCAGCCAAATGTTGCAGAGGGGAGGAGAACCACTTCTGTGCCTCTGGGACCCTGGTATGAACAGGAGACCAACTTCCTTGTGCAGGTGACTTTCTGCTGGGACACACTTGCTTATTGAACTGTTAGTTTAGGTCTCAGAAACGCAAGGAAGACCACAGAAATTCTTGCCAGTAAATCTCTACTCTCATTTTCACACACACCCCCAGTGTTCAAATATGTGAATCTGCTGGGGATAAGTTGGTTCTGTTTTGCTCCAGAGAGCTGGTTTCCCTCAGGCCTTTCCTAAAGGTGAAATGCAGTTCAGTAGCAAAGCTTTGTATTAGGTGTTTAAAGCTGGTACTTTCTCAGTTGGAATAACTGTTGTTCTAAAAAAAGTTTGTATAATTACAGAGTAGACTTATTTCTTGTTTGCTAATAACAACTATCTCTAAGTATAAGGATTCTTCATCCAGCTGATTTCAGTTATCCAGGTTGGGAGGGAAGAACGCCTGCTTTCTATTGCATCATTCTTGGGGGGGATGTGAGTCATGTTAGCAGTTCAGATACAAGAGAAAATGGCCTGTGATATTCCCTTCATGCTGCTGTAGGACTCAGGCTAGGCACAGCAGAGACCTTGCTGAAATAGAGCTCTGCTGATGGAGACGGTTGGGTACCATCAAACTCACTGAAGAAATGAAAGGTCACTATTGCTAGCCAGGGAATCTGAGGATTTTGAAGGTGTTGTCAGATTTTCCCAGAGATTTTTCATCAAAATGTCCTTTTTTTTTTTTTTAAGATGTGTGTGTGTGCACAAAGAAAAAGCTGGACCACCTTGATAATGTTCATGGTTTAGCTCTAAGGCTTAAAAAACACATGAGTTTTATGGAGCTAAAAAAATTTCTGGAAAGAATGGAATTAATTGCACCCCTGGCTATAGCTGTTTCTAAAAGACTGCACTTAGGAAAGTATACATTTTTTTTCTTTCTCCGCTGGAGGAAGGGCTGATGTTTTGGTGAATCTTCAAATACAGAAGCTCCCTGATGGCTTGATGCCAGTGAGAAATTGTTTTATTTATTAAAGGTGCTTTAGTGTTTCACTTGCTGTGGCTCCCAGCACATTTGCCCAAGCAGCTCAGCCTCTGGCAGTGCAGTTCCTGGTTGGGCCCACAACGGGAAGGATGCTGAACAGTTGCTTTGCAGCACCTGCTTGTTCCCTCACTCCTGGTTTTCTTGTACTGGATACAGGGAGCAGAGCTTACCTTGCAAAGAGTGATATTGAGCATCTGTGGCACAGTGTGTGCTTTTCTTTTCTGGTAAAAGATGTTTGCAAGAGTTTTGCCCTGGATTTTAGATCAGTAAGCCTTTCCCACCAGCAGCTCCAAAGTGCTTATTAAGAATAGAGTCAGAAGGGAAACTGGATGACTGTTTTTAGGAAGTTTTTGGTGGTTTTTAAAGTACTAGATACTCTTTACTTTGTATCTTTCAGAACACTTAAGCTATCGTATGAGTAACTTAAAATCTTTATGCTACTGCAATAGAGTTGGTCACCTGGCTTATCTCCACAACAAAGGATTGCTCTCCTGACCGCACTGGACAAATCCAAATCTGTTTAAAAGGCACGTGTTGAAAAGACTGTACTAAAACCTCTGTGGTAGCAGCACTATCTAAGCAAGTGATTTATAACTTTCCTATGTTTTTTATTACCCTTCTTGCCTGC